CAAGAACAGTTTTCTGGACTCTGACTGGATTACAGTAGCTACACTGCCACCTAGTGGATAATTAATACATGACAGTGTGGGATTAGTAACTGCACTCTTTTTCTCTTAAAAAGATGTGTAGAGTCAGTTCAAGATAAATGTTTGGTCTTCTGGTGTATTGCACTTTTGATATTTGATATGTGAAATCAGTGGTAAAAAAATAAATGCTTTTCTCAGCTGAAGTACGGTGCACATTACCCAATTAAATGCTCAAAGAAAAGTGAAAGACACCCTATAAAAATTAAAGTGAAAGTCTCAGATTATCTTAAAATAGCTTAAAATTTAAAGTAAAGGTAAAACATACACTTAGGAAAAAAAGTTCCTTTACTGTAAAACTAAACCATATTTGTGCAAATAAACCAGAATAGCAGACACTTCTGTTTTTATAGCACCAAAAATCTTTTAAATGGAAATCTTCCTCCACTATTGGAGCAAGCCCCACTACCTGGGGATAAAAGCCCCCCTGGTGAATGTATCATCTATATCTCCCCTTTACATTTGTCCGAAAAACATATTAATTAAAGAATAGCACAAAAACACTTAAAATGAATTAACTACACTTTTAAATAAGATGGTTCTTTAAGGGTTCTTTAGTAAAAGCAATGGTTCTATGCATGATGAAATGGTTCTTCAGATAGATGGAGAATGTGTTTTATGTGGTTCTATAAAGCACAAAAAAGGGTTCTGCTATTGTTACGATGTCAAGATTGCAACAATAGAAGAACCCTTTTTGGTGCTATACAGAACCATATACAAAACATTCTCTATCTATCTGAAGAACCATTGCACCATGCAAAGAACCCTTTAAGAATGAAAATGTTTTTGGTTCTATATACTAAAATACTAAATAACCCTTAAAAACATCTTTTTGAAGTGTGTAGTTCTTGATTGATTGATGATAGTAATTACACAATATTATTATACAAAATCATTATTGTTTTTTGTTGTTGCAGCTATAGTAACAATAACAGTTCAAGCAGTTTATGGCAAGTAAATACAAATGATTATTGTTCATAACGGACCAGCAAAACTCATATCACCAAACTTTACAGGAGAAGTAGACAGAAAAATGTTGTTAACTTATGATGGAAGTTAATGTAGAAATTATTTATTTCTAGTCATTTTGGGGAATTTCTATTGGTCTATTCATCATGAAATTGTGGCATTATGTAAAGGTCATCTGGCGATTTCAAATTATGCCAAAAAATGAAAATGAAGATTTGAAGTGTTGTCCCAACAGTGATGGGAATTTCAATTTTAGATAATGATTGCAATTGCCGGTGTAACACATGTAACACTAATGCTAGCTATCCAGTCAAAGTGCAGCGAACAACTTTGTGTCTTTTTGAATATAATCAAACTAAACAAAATCTCTTGAACAATATGTTAAGGAGGTCAATTTTCACTTTAAAAGAAAAAAAAATGATTCTTTTAAACCCAAATATACTACTCTCACCACAACCCTTAACAACTTTTCTTGTAACAATTAAAATAGATGTGTAGATCACTATTATCCACTGACAAAAAATTAGATCAACAGACAGGAATAAAGTGATTCAGATGAAATTTCAGAATGAATTAGACCATCCATTCATCTATCCATCCATCATCTAAACCTCTTATCCTTCTGGGTCGCGGTGGGGTGCTGGAGCCTATCCCAGCTGTCATTGGGCGGAAGGCAGGATACACCCTGGACAGGTCGCCAGTCCATTGCAGGGCTGAATTAGACCACAGCTCAGTAAATTTGTTAGATTTGGCAACATTACTTGGTCAGAGAGAAAATAGTGTGTGTGGGGAGGGAGATCTTACTCCAGGGGGATTCTTGCTCCAACCTAGTCTACATATAATGGTTATATAATTTCATGTACAGTCTTTGAGTCACAGCCAAGGGCTGCAGTGAAAAAGTAATGCATTGACTTTATTCACATCTCCAGATCAATATAGGAATATATCAGATCAAACCACAAAATTATTGTCAAAAGTGAAAGATAAAACTGTGCTTATATATTTTATTAATGTAGAAATAGTGTACACATTTGAATTGAGCACATTGGATGCATTACTGCTTCAATGTGGTTTAGTGAGCCAAGCTGTTTTGTTTGCAGGAGACTCATTTATTATCATGAAGACTGTTCATAATACCTCATCCTTGTTACTGCATTCTCTCCTCCACCCATTAGTCTTTAATGAATTCCAGTCATAACGTTTATCAGTATTTGTTATAGCAGTCTTCCTTGTTGATATTCTTCTAGGTTTCCAGGTTGTATTTGTTGCTAAGTTGTGATAAAGGTTGTGCATTTTAAGGTAAATGGCATTTCTCCAAGCTCTGTCTAAATCATATGGGCTTGTTTAATCTACTTTCGACCATGTTTGTTGCATATGTCTAACTATACAACAAAAACAATGAGGTTAAATAAAACTTTTCACATCAACAGACTAATCTGAATGGAGAGGATATGACCGAGATGTTCTTGGCTCCATTTTTAAACCTACTTGCATAAGAAGTAAAAACGGATATCTGTTTCGATATGTAGTGAGGAGGCCCCAAAACCATTTGGATATTTTTATGAAAATATATGTAATTTAATGAAATATAATATTTTCTCTCTTACTGTTATCAAATGAACTAAATGTTGTGACTGTGTTGAGCTGCTAGTGAGCAGTAGACATGAAAGGGGAGGGGTGAAAAACCCCTGCTGTGAAAACTGATCAACACCTCTCCACAAAGATAGCTGTACCGAGATGATGTACGTAGTAGTTTTGTAAATCATACACACATCAAAATATATTCCACTGATGTTATGGAAGAAAAAATGCATCTAAAATAGGCAAAAATTGCATTTTCTGGCTACTGTGAGAAGAGGATAATCATTTAGTCAGCACTGTGCTACTCAAAGACTTATCGCTGATCATTCTCCTCTGTTTTGCAACCATGTTTCACTATTTACAAACTGTATTCCTCTGTAGAATTAGGCCCATACACAGTACTTTTGGAGGGTTAAGGGCTCAGCGGGACAAAAAAGGCAACTGAAAGTGAATTCAGCATAATATATGTCACAGCATATTGAAAATATACTTTCTTGATAAGAGTGTTAAGTGTAACCAAACAGTTTTGAGTTTTCCGATTGCAGGCAAAAACACCTGTGTTACTGTCTGAGCAGGGATTGACACCCCAATCTTTAGTGTCCAAAGCTTCAACATTTTACACTACACAATCTAATTACTACCAACCTCTGAGTTATAACTTTAAGAGCTCCAGGAACCTGGCATGTATCTCTGCTTTTCATAATAATGAAAACAATTGCATGTTTAGCCCTGTGGTGATGTGCACCGTGTGTGCCCGCTTATACTTGTTATGATACTCATTTTAGCTGCCACTTTATATCTAGTTTTTGTTTATTTATTTTGTGTTGTTTGTGGTTTTATTGTTTCTCACTTGATTTGCTTTGAACTTTCCCTGCTGGTTCGGGACTCCATCATCGACTGAGAACTGGCCAAGAGACACTGCATCTCGGTGTAGGAGTGCGAGTTTGACATGGCCATTAGCTAGGATGCTTCTCCCCTTGGTAGCAGAGTTTGACTAGGCTGGGAGCTGGTACACCTGTCACTGTGGTAGTAGAGTTTAACCAGACTGTGAGCAGGGGACTTTTGACTAAGCCAGAGCTGGGACACTTCTCACCTTGGGAGCAGAGTTTGACTAGGTCGTGAGACAGGACACTTCTCACCTCTGTAGTGGAGCTCAGCTAGGCTTTGAGCCAGGATACTTCTCACCAAGGTAGTGGAGTTTGACTAGGCTGTGAACCCAGATACTTCTCACCAAGTTAGTGGAGTTTGACTAGGCTGTGAACCAAGATATTTCTCACCAAGGTAGTGGAGTTTGACTAGGCTGAGTTGGGATATGTCTCACCTCTGTAGCAGTTTGACTAGGTTAAGAGCAGGGGTCAACAACTGGGACACTTCTTACTATGGTAGTAGTTTAATTAGGCCATGACCCAGACACTTTTGGAACACTGAGTTTCACTTGGCTGTGAGCTGGAGGCTTCAGACCATGACAGTCCACACAGGCAGTTGGTACTACACTGGGGGGGACCCAAGTGCAAGGAAGCTTGTGAAACTTGAGCTAACCCACAAACTCTATTCCTGGGCGGGACCGAGCCACACCTCGCTGAAACTGATCTTGAAGAATGGCAGAGGTCATATAAAGTACAATTATTATATGCGTCGACCACAAGGGCATTGTACAGTCAAAGGCTGAAAGGGCAGGGGACCCTCTGTGCACATGCCTGGATAGAATTACTTTAAGTAAACACTGGTGTATTTTATCATATTGTATTTCATATTTTTGAAAAGCAATAACCCACATCAGGTCATGAGTTACAGTGTAACTGACTCACTGATCTTTTTGTGATGTTAATTTAGGACACAGACAGATTATCTCTGGGCTGGTACAGATTACTAGCAGGTAATCAGCTAGTAATCAGGTAATCAGCTGAGTGCTGAATTCAATTTAATAACATTTTTCAAATATATCACGGCATCAGGATATCAGATGACATTTAATTTTGCGTTAATAATGAAGTCATTCTTCCACTGCTGCTACTCGGTACTAAACTAAATCGTTTTGTTCTGTTTCATCTTATTGTATTAGACAGATTTGCAGAATGGAAACATATTTATTCAGTTTTTATGTATGAACTTGTATTTGAATTAAAAACCATCTGGAACAAGTTAACTAGACACATATCGTCCAGCTCTAATCAGTTTTCATAAATGAAGATGCGCTGGACTTCAGACTGATCTAATTATGGTAGAGTTACATCAACTGTGACAAAGTGGTCATTGTCACCAATAACAAAGCCAGCAGTGAGTTAGACACTACACACTACAACAGAATCAAAGTCACTGTGGCAATGTACAATAAAACAAATTCACTATCTTTTTCCATTATTAGAAATTTATTTCAGTGTTAAATTAAAAAATGTAAAAACAATTAAAGTTTACATCAAAAAGAATAGTAAGCACATTAAAAACACTACAATAAATACATAAATATGAACTAATAAATATGTAATATATACAAATAAAAACCTCAGTGCGTGGATTAAGGCTTCATCCAGATTTCCTATTTTTCGGAGACACTGTGTTATCTGTTTTCTCATATAGAGGACTTGGCAACCAATTAGCCAAGCATTTATACACACTCTTAAAAATAAAGGTTCCTAAATGGTTCTTGGCTTGGATGTAAGGTTCTAGGAAAAAACTTTCATTGACATTGACATTACACTATTACATTATGTGGAGGTTTTGTAAACTTCAAAAAGGCTCTTCACAAAGACATCATTAAAAATTTATAAAAAAAAAATGATTTTTTTTATGGCATGGCTTCAAAGAACCTTTTTGGCACCTTCATTTGGCAGTGTACTGTGCAAAAGATAAAAAATAACACACCTGCCTTTTACTGCACTTCTGTTGGTAAAATAAAAACACAGATCCCAAGTGAATGGTTTTAAACACTTTGCTTGGGCGATTAAGACTTTTGCACTGTACTGTGCATAAATACATACACAAACACACACACACACACACACACACACACAAAATAAACAGCTATGCTGTAGTTGTTGGAACACACCCAATTGGAGTTTTCAAATTTTGCAAAAAAGTAAAAAATTATAAAAGTGAAGATACTGTGCGTTGATTATCTAAGTGATAATAAGTTAGCACATTCTCTACTAGAGAACACACTTCTGCATATTTTAATGCACATTAACTGTTTATTTACTGAATTTAACTCATTTGAAAAATTAAAACTTAACATGTGACATGCGCAAAAGATATGGCATATTTTGTATTTATTGTTTTGGTTTTTCCAAAATGTTAAACATGGCAAATAAATAGAAATATGGCAGTAAAATTAAAAGAATACGCTGAAGTTCCCTGTATAAGACGTTAGCTTATTTTTACTTACAAAATCAACATGTAATCAAATCAAAATGTAATTAACACATAATTTGACCAGAAATGCCAAAACTTTTGCATACGACAGGCTATACACTGCTTAAAATGAAGGTTCTGAAACGGTTCTTGGATGTATGGTTCTAGGAAAACCTTTCAACAGTATAGAACCTTTACATTATGCGGAGGTTAAAGAACCCTTTTTGGCACCTTTATTTTTTCCAAGAGTTGAAAGAGTGTCTCAGTAAATTCACTTAAGGGAATTTAAAAAAAATTACAATAAAAAAGCTTGTGTTTTTGGCCCAAGGTGAGGTTAAGGCCCTCGGCTACTTTGCTTTAGTCATTTTAGTGTAATTCAACTTACCATCAGGTGAGGATCAGCACGTTACCACAACCAGAATGAAAGAGATGTTAAGAGAGAGTAGCACCCTTTATCCATGACAGAGTCATGCTAACTATCCTATGCAGTGCTAGAGTAAAACCACAGTGAGAAGATGAGGTGTCTGATGGTGATTAAATGCTCACTGGGTTAACATGGACACTGACTGTATTAGGTATAGAAGAGGCTTCAGTGGTGCTGATGTCCTGAGTGGAAGCAGCTTCAGGCTGGTTTATCTTTGGCTTCTCTTCACTTTGCTGCTCCTCAAAATGACTCTCAGCCTCCTCCGAGAAACAGGACTCCTCAACCTCCTTTTCCTTCTAAAAAGAGGAGAGATGAAAGATAGAAATAGACCAGAAGGAGTCAGGATGTGCAGACAGAAGAGAGGAAAAAGTAAAGAGTGAGAAAAGATCAGTAAGCATTTATTTCTTTAAGAAACAATAACTTCAGAGTAAATACAAATAAACAAATACACAATCCATTCTGATTGTTCTGTGTGCATGTTAGTTTAACAGTTTCCAAATCCCTCCTCTAGGAAGTCCAGTATTTACAATTACCAGTTTATTCTATACCCAGCTTATGTGATCAATCCTCCATTAAATTAAATCAGGTGATGTATTCTATATTCTTCTAACCTACATATGCATAACTTTACTGAAAATAGCACATTTTTATTATGTTTTACAGTATTTATATTTATTTGCATTTATTCTAATGGTATATAGTGATTTTATTGGCAACTTACTCCCCATAACAATTTAAACAATTGTCTTGGGTGCCTAAGACTTTTATACAGTACATATGTTTATATCAGTACATATGTATATATCAATTCAGAGAGCATACCATTATGCACATTGTATTATTGACGTAAAAAAATCAAAACACTGGTATAACTGCTCGGCAATTACAGTTACAATGCAGAATTGCAGAAATGCTCTTCCTGTAAAGCTAAACTGTATAAAGTAAAATGAAGTTCTGACTAGGTATTAGCCAATGATGTCACAGGGCAAAAAAAGGGACAGCCCTAAACAGCACTACTGCATAAATTATGTACAGCACATACTTCCTTCTTCATCCTGTCAAACTCGTCAATGGCATACTGATATTTGGCTGAAGTTATTCCGAACAGTGATGCCATCCTCTCACCCAGGTAGTCACAAGCTGAAACATGAGAATAAATCAGAGTGAAATACACTATATGGCCACTCGTCACTTGACCACACTTGACCAAGTGCTTGTTAGATATCCCATTCCAAAACCACAGGCATAGAGTTAACAGAGTTGCCCCCCCTTTGTGGCTATAAAAGCCTATAAGATTTTGGTGTGTGTCTATGGGAATTTGTGAAGTCGGGTATTGATGTTGGATGAGAAGACCTGGCTCGCAATCAATGTCCCAGTTGATCCCAAAGGTGTTGAACAAGGTTGCAATCTGCAGATCATTATCCCCCCTCCACCAAACTTTACAGCTGACGCCATGCATTCTGGTAGGCAGAGCTGTCCTAGTATCAGCCAAACCCAAATTCATCCATCACACTGACAGATAGTGAAATGTGATTCATCACTCCAGAGAACAATGTTTCCAATGCTCCAGAGTCCAGTGGTGACATGCTTTACTGCACTCCAGCCAACACTTGGCATTGCACATAGTGAGTGTAGGCCTGTCTGCAGCTGCCTGGCTGTGAAAACTCATTTCAAGAAGGTTGAACAGTTCTTCTGCTAATGTTGCTTCCTGAGGCAGTCTGAAACTGTGGTGAGTGATGCAACAGACAATAGGCGATTTTTACGCTTCAGTGCTTCAGCACGTGGTAGCCCTGTTCTGTGAATTTGCATGGTCCATCGCTTTGTGGCTGAGCTGTTGTTGCTTCTAAGTGCTTCAATTTCACAATAAAAGTACTTACAATTTACAGGGGAAGATCTAGCATGGGCAAAAATTTCACAACCTGACTTCTAAATTCACTGAGCTCTTCATTATGACCCATTCTACTGCCAGTGTTTGTCTATGGAGATTGCATGGCTATGTGCTTGAGTTTTATACACCTGTTTGCAATGGATGCGGCTAAAACACCTGAACACAATAATTAGAAGAGGTGTACACATACATTTGGCCACATAGTGTATCATTATTGTTCATAAATGCACAATGAATTGTTTTCAAGCTAACTGCCACTTTTATTTGCTGCCTTTCCCCCCTTCTCCTTCCCTCTTTACTTTCTTGTTTCCTATCTATACATTGCACATTGTATGCTATATTCTCAAATAACATATTATAATTAAAAAATAAATAAACGCACAATTAATCATCAGGCTTAGAGGTACACTGCAAATAAAAAATGACCACCTACTACAGCACAATTACAACAGTTTACTTTACAGCATGACCTAAAGTACCCAACTTTGACAGCAACTGAGTAAAGCAGTAAAAAGCCTACCTGACACAGTGGATGTAGCTGCCCTCCACATCTGAAACCAGACATATGGGCCCCACGTCAGCTTAGACTGCAAATTAAGAAGAAGAAAAAACAACAGCGTTAATCTACTATTTTTGTTTCAACAATTTGTCACTAATCCTTTCCATTTGCCTCATTTTAGATTAGATATCTCTATTTTCTTCTGACATCATTTCATGCAGGGCTGTTCGATTTCAGGAACTTTTAGTCAACTCCAATTCTGATTCTAAGTGACAAGAATCAACCCTTCATTTCAGTGGTTGATTCACACAATCTCAATTCTAAAAACTAACATATAGGTTGAGGACATCTGGCAAAAATAAAAAGAACAGAATACACTATTTTGATTAATGGTATGAATGACATTGGATCATGACATATTAACTTAATGTGCTTAGTGTTTCCCTTACATAGGTTACACAAGTACATACGTCAGGTTTCCATTTTGTCCTGTTTTAAAAATGACAAAGAAAAAATGCATGATATTTTTTATGTATAAACAAGGGCATGCAGTGTCACTATTGCAAAGCACCACTCTTTTCCCCTGTGGTGATTTCCACAGCCTAAATCTTTACTTTAGGCAAATCCATGAGGTATCTAAAAACGAAAAACAGAAAATAGAAGGTTTAATATTTAGTTATTTGATGCCTTATTCAAATACCCAAATAAGTAAACAAATGCTATAATTTGGAGGAGTTTGGATACCATACATTCCTCCAAACCGTTCAAGGTGCGCCACCTAGGTTTGTTTCAGACATGTGGGAAACACTGTGTGTTACCATCGGTTATTCTCAAAGGAAGCAAGATATCAGTTTATTTACACTACGTATTTTGTTTAAGCAATTTGGAAATTCGGAGTGCAAATTAAATAACGGGGGCTTAAGTGTTTCTCCTCTGTTAACTTCTGTGGGTGGGTAGATATTTCAGCAATGACAATGTTTGACAGTGAACCACAAATTTTACGTTACTTTGTTTATCACTTTGTCCCAAATAAAATACAGTCGAATTATAGACAGTGTAAACTACAGCCGGATTATGTATTGTGCAAAACACAGCCACATTATGTAATGTATGTGTTGTGGAAGGAAACATTTTCAGACAAGCTGTCTAAAGAGTGATGGTGGAATATCTGGCTCTGTATGTGCTTGCAGGTAAAAATTTTAACATCTGTTTGGAATCTAATCCAAAGCTTTTGAGTCAACTCTTGATTCTCAAAAGCCTGGCATCAGAAAATTGAGTGATTTTGGGATTGACTCTCAGACGCTAATTTCTTGGGACTCAAACATAAACAGAAACACGCATGCGCAAACACACAGACACACACTGTGTCTATTGAAGACAAAAGGTCTTTTTTCTCTGGATGTTTCTCTGAGTCGTCGTCCTCCTCCGTGCTGTACTCCTCCATTGTTTCCCCGCTGGAGAAGTGAATGACCCTGCGTGGAGTCTTCTCTTTGGACTGCTCCTTGTCTGCCAGCTCTCCCAGCTCGACACATTCAAAATCCTTCCCTTTGCTGGAGCCCTGTAGCAAAAAAACAGCCCTCTAATGAACAAACTCAGCTACATTAAAAGGCCAATATCATGAAATACTGAATTACCCTCACTTTTTAAATAAATATGAGTTTGATGCTGTATGTACACTGCTATTCACCCCCACCCCCAGTCCATACGGTCCATATATGGAAACTAAAATGCAAAAACAGCTCATTTTGAATTCACTGTTTCTGTGATGTCAGGACAACAAACTCATTTATATACATCGGCCTGTTCAGCCTACAGCAGTTTAGCCCTGCCCATTCACAATGAAGTTAAAAGGAGCATTTCAGCCCAGACTGCTTTATTAATAAGGAACAATCCAAGGCAAAAAGAGGCAGTATCAAAAATAGCTTGTTAAAGTCTAAGGGATAACATTATGTTATAGAAAGAGGAAAAATAAAATGCATAAAAGAATACACAACTTGTATGATCTCCATAGAAAAGCACTGACCAATAGAATGAGACACTCTGGAGCAGCTGCACATGAGCCTAAGGACAACATGCCCAATGTCAAGCATGGGTTAGAGGTGGATAAAGCCCCCCCAGCATTGGGCTGTGGAGCAGTGGAACTGCATTCTCTGGAGTGATGGAGCTCTATCCAGCACCTTTAGGATGAATTGGAGTGATCAAGAACTGACCATCCAACATCAGTACCTGATCTCACTAATGCTTGAACAAATCCTCCCAGCAATGTTCCAACATCTAGTGTAAAGCCACCCCAGACAAGTAGAGACTGTTGGGGACATACGGCCTATTAAAACTATACATTTCAGAAAAAATGTTGGAGTTTGTATAGTTTTAGACATGATGTACTTGAAGTTATGCTTTTGCAATAGTGCACATTTATTTGAAATACAGACAAAAAAGAAAAAAAAGTAATGAAACTTTTGCTCAGCCACAGCTTTTACATTGTAAGGAGATGCAATCTTTATAATGTAAAAAGCACTTTATCGCCCAAATAAACTTCATACAAAATACATGTTTCTGAGAAAACAAATATTTGTGTAATAACGTGAAGCTCGATACCCTGGCCAGAATTAGATGACTGCACAGTCAACTTTGATCTGTAAGTAAGTAAATAAATAAATATATAAATAACTAACTAAATAAATAAAAATGCAGGTTAACTTTCATTTGCAGGACATGTGCACCTTTAAATATCATGCAGAATTAAACCTGGCATGCTGATCAACTGTAGCACGAAAAAGGGCTCTGCTACTGCATACAAGCTCGACATCTTATAAACACATTCTCCATCAATCTGAAGAACCATTTCACCATGCAAAGAACTATTCAAGCATGCAAATTGTTCTATATAGAACTGATGGGTCTAAACAGTACCTATCCTTTTACTAAAGATGACTTAAAAGCATCTTTTTTTAAGCGTGCAGAATTAGATGACTGTATAAGTCAATTTTGAACTGAAAATAATTAAAGGCATTAATTAAAGCAAAATAAAAGCAAGTTAAGTTCCATTTGATATGTTCACCCTTGAATATCATGCGGAAATAAACCTGGCACTCAGATCAACCACATTAAAACTAAAAAGCAAATAAGAAACGGTTTAATTCAGCAGCCTATTAATAAGCACGAATATAACGTTACACTCTTCAAATATGGTTCTACAAGGGTTCTTTAGCAAAGGCAATGGTTCTATTTAGATTTAGTATTAGGTACGAATGTCCGACTAGCCTTCAGTAACTGGTTTATTTACCTTTTCGGTGTCCATGCTGTCCGTCACAGTAATATTGGAGTTTGCGAGATAAAGCGCCATTCCTGCCATCCTGATCTGCTCTGTATCCGCTCTATCAGCTCAGTTTCACCGAAACCAGCGATGTAGACGGATAAACTCTGTCGGTTAGTCACTTCCGGCGTGTTAGAGTTCAGCCTTCAAAATAAAAGTTCCCTTCTCAAAACTACTCAAACGTAAATCTGTGAACATGGACTAGCACAGTGCTTCTCAGCCCCGAGGTCAACTGCTCTGGGAGGTATTCCACAAAGCTGGATTTCTCAGTTAACCAGATACCTTAAGCCCAAAGACGAGGACTCTCCAATAAGAATGTCCCTCAGCTCTTTTCCTATTGGACAAGCTTGACTTTGTGCCTAAGTAATCTGGCTAACTGAGAAATCTTGCAGTGTGAAATTCTTTTTTTTGCTCCCAAAACACCTGGTCCAACTAACCAGTTCATTATCAGCCAATTAGTCAGTTAAAATGAGTGTGTTAAAGCTGAATAAGCACTAAAATGTGTCAGGTAGTGGGCCTTCAGGGCCATGGAGAAGTACTGCACTAGTGGTAACCACTAGTTTTTTGTAGGACACTTTTAGATCTCATAAGGAAATCATCAAATGCAACTGCAGTCAGTCCCAGAACACCTGTTAAACCTTTAGAGTGCTTTAGGCTGTGATATCTACTGATCAGGAAAACATGCATTACTGAGTACTGGATGCCACCAGGAACTAACAGAAACTTTTGGTGGTTTCTATGATTTTTTTTTTCAGAATGAAATGTTATACTGCAATTGCCCATTAATATGATTTTTTTCTGTCAGGTTATCTGCTTCGAGATTGCTCTCTCTACTCCTAAAACATTATTAAATCTGGATATAAATTGCTTTATTATTTAAATCTCAGTCAGTTAAGAATCTTTTAATTATTCTGGACATATCCAAGATTTTTTTGTGCTGCCCTGCTTTAAATTTGAAGTTAATAATAAGCAGGGCACCTAATAAGCAGGGTACTGGCACTGTCTGGACAGCAGAGTCTCTTGCGGTCTTCAAATGCAGACTGAAGACACATCTCTTTTTACAGCACTTAAGTGAGCACTGAGTTAAGTATTTAGCGTATTGTACTGCACTTATTGAAATGTATTGCAATGCGCTGTGTTTACTTCTGTTGCTTTTTCTGTAGGTATCAACATGGGCTTTTGTTTCTAGCAGTGTCTGAGGTCAGGACTAGCTTTCTCTCTAACCTATTAACCAAAGATACTTTCTCTAGATAGACAACACCCTTTTTGGAAGTCTCTCTGGATAAGAGCATCTGCTAAATGCTGTGAATGTAAATGTAAATGACTCCTTTTGAACTGTTCAACATGTTTTCAATTAAATAAATCCTATTTGGACCTCACTAGGTCAGCAGGTAGCTAATAGGCTAACAGTCTGGTTCAGTAATACTGCGTAACAGGCTTCAAATTCAGATCTTTCCAGAAGGAGCCATGGTAAAACTGCATTTAGAATAAAGCATAGATCGTATGCATGTTACAAGCTTCATATGCCTTATGTTTAAGCTAGAATTGGCATCAAATGTAATTACACATTTCAACACCTTCTAGCTTGGCGCAAACAACACTACACATTCCCATAGGGATGTAATAAAGTCTTATAAAGTGAACTATAAGGTTTCTGCATTAAACATTGCTATGCTTCACACCTGCATGTGGTTCACAGCATGGACAATTTCTCCATGTTTTAGGACACGGTACACATCATGAGTCATGAATATTATATAAAACTTGTCACCTCATGCCTTAAAAATTCAAATGATGTATTGTACATCATTCAAGTATTTGCCACTTGAGTGCATCATTAATTGATTCTTGAAATAAAACTGAGGCTAACTGGTGCCTACAAAGCAGGAGAAGACTATACAAAGATATCTAAGCACTTTCAGTTCATAATTTCCACTGAAATGTCCTTAAGAAATAGCAGTTAGGGGGAAATATCAAAGTCAAGGAAAGATCTGGAAGACCACAGCGAGAAAGATGCTGCTGGCCAGATAGGCAAAGCAATGCCCCATATGACAATGGACCTACAGGAGTAAAGTAACTGCATTAATATTTGCACTGAACACAAGCTTTGGTCACGCATTTCATTAGGTTTTGAAATCTGAAGTATATTAGGAACCAGTGAGGGCATGTAAGGACAGCTGAAAGTGTTCTTATAAAGAATTTTTAACCAAGTAGTTGATGTTGATCAGGTTCTCTTTTATGTCAGGTATGACCTTTTGGCATAATAGAGAAAAATGTATGAAATGTTCATTGCTCTAATACTGGTTGTTTTGGATTTAGATGTACTAGATGTTAATCATGAAAACCCTACCATTCACTTTGTGAACTATATCTACTGAAGGTCTTCACATTTGGAGAAGTTTGTAACATGCAGATCTTTAGCTAAAGTTGCTTCCAGAGGTAATTTTAAACTCTTTAGTGAATGATTCAACAGAGGATAGGCACTTGGCACTTCAGCACTCGGAGGCCCTGCTCTGTGACTTTATGCGGTCTACGACATTAAGGCTAAGCTGTTGTCATCACAGCGTTGGTGAAAGGCATTGGGATCCGTAGCTGTTGCAGAAAGGCCTTCTCTGACAGGAGACAGCTGTATGACTCAACCGTTTTTTCAAGGATCATGTGAATGATTATGATTTTACTTTGTTGTCACGTTCAGCCACTCTGCCAGATAAATGAAAACCCCTACGTAGTTGGCAGCATTTGAACCTGCACGGGGAAACCCCAACAGATTACAAGTCCATCGCCTTAACCACTTGGCCACGACTACGAGCTGGTCTCTCTAACCGGGCTGCATCTGAAATTGCAAGTCGGTCATGGACATTTACATAATGCAACAAGGCAAAAGTTGAGCACGAGGTGTTTGAAAAGTACATCAGATGCAGGCTTTGAGCCTTTTCTTCTTTGAGAAATGAATCTGAGAATTACGCCATATGGACAAAAGTATTGGAACACCTACACATTACACTTCCAGGTAATTTTATGACATGTCATTCTAAATCCATAGGTATTAGAATGGAGTTAGTCCCCCGCCGTTGCAGCTCTAACAGCTTACACTCTTTTGGGAGGGCTTTTTACAAGATTTAGGAGTGTGTCTGTGGAAAATTTGCCCATTCATCCAGAAGAGCATTTGGAGGGCAGAAACTGATGTTGGACTAGAGGGCCTGGCTTGCAATCTCAGGGCTGAGGTCAGGGCTCTGTGTGGGCCAGTCAAGTTCTTCCACACCAAACTCACCCAACCATGCCTTTATGGAGCTTGCTTTGTGCACTGGGGCACATTCATGCAGACCTAGCAGGACAGAAATTTCACAAACTGACTTGTAACAGAGAAGGCATCCTATGACAGTGCCACGTTTAAAGTCACTGAGCTCATCAGCACGACCCATTCTCCTGCCAGTGTTTGTCTATGGAGACTGCAAGGCTATGTGCTTAATTAGATCTACTTGTTAGCAATGGGCGTGGCTGAAACACCTGCATTCAATAATTGGGGGGGGGAGGATGTCCCACTACTTTTGTCCATATAGTGTACGAAAGAATGCCCGCATTGGTGCAGGGAACACATCCTGGGCTGAGGCTTCCACATTCGCGGCAGTGTTAGAGAAGCGCTAAGAGACAGAAAGCATGCTTGGATTTTGGTAGGACCGCTGAAGGAGTCATCTATTTGGAGCAGTTCCTTTGGTGCGAATGAGTGTGTTTTCTACTCTTTCAGTTTTACTTAGGCGGACTTTGTCCATGACTTGGTCCAATTGTGAAGCAGGAAGAGCCGTGCCGCCAGACAAACGAAAAGCAGGTCGTAGTCGGCAGGATTCGAACCTGCGCGGGGAGACCCCAATGGATTTCTAGTCCATCGCCTTAACCACTCAGCCACGACTACCGAGCACCGCAGCGCCCGAAACCGCACAAGTCAGCCATAGCCATTCGTAAGACAAAGAAGCGAAATTGGAGCACAAGGCGGTTGAAAAGCATGTCAGAAGTGGGATTCGAACCCACGCCTCCAGGGGAGACTGCGACCTGAACGCAGCGCCTTAGACCGCTCGGCCATCCTGACCACTTGTCAAAAACTGTACGTGGCGCAGGAGACGCTTGTATGTTTTGGTCCCAACCTTAAACGAGATCCAATCCCCCTGTATTGTAGCTCTAAAGGCTTTAGAAGCAGGTGGTTTGTTAGCATGCCGCTAAAGCGGCTACGGCTGTGCCGTACTTGCAAGATAGTCTTTTTTAACCAGAGGCAGCTGGAGTACTTATCATTGGTTACCAGTTTGTGTGTTGTAAGTGACGGCCTTACTTTTATCTCTCACTTTGGCAGTCAGTCTTTCGCCAGGACCACGATCACGTGCAACGCAGGCACAACCCTTCTGCCGTAAACATTTCCTTCAGCTGAGTGTTTCACCGTCAGGGCGGTGTTAGTGACTGAGAGCATGCTCAAAGACAAGTTCTTTGGTCCAGTCCTCACGGGACACAACACTGCAGACTTCAGCACACTGCCTCATTAAGCACAGCTGATTCAACTCATCAGCAAGGCCTTCACGAACCGAGTTCAGAGCATTGGATGAAGGTAAAGGCTGATCTCTGTAGCACTTTGGCCCAGAAGGTCCCCAGTTTGACATGCCTTGTTTCTGTGATAGCGGCACAAAGGCCTTGTCATCACAGCGTTGGTCACCGTGCCTTTCAATGGGCCTTGGGATCCGTCGCTGTTGCGGAAAGGCCTTCTCTGACAGGAGACGGCTGTAGTACTCAAGCGTTTTTTCAAGGATCACGTGAATGATTAAGATTTGACTTTTTTGTCAGGCAGCCTTTCGCCTTGGCGGGGTTCGGTCATGAAGCAGGTACAGCCCCGCTGCCAGATAAACGAAAACCCCTACGTAGTCGGCAGGATTCGAACCTGCGCGGGGAAACCCCAATGGATTTCAAGTCCATCGCCTTAACCACTCGGCCACGACTACCAGCCGTTCTTTGTAACCGGGTGCCTGCATCTGAAATTGCACAAGTCGGTCATGGACATTTATTTAGAGCAACTATGCAAAAGTCGAGCACGAGGTTTGTGAAAAGCACGTCAGATGTGGGCTTTGAACCCACACCTTCGTGATGCAGCCTTTTCTTCTTTGAGAACTGAATCTGAGAATTACGCCATATGGACAAATGTATTGGAACACCTACACATTACACTTCCAGGAGCTTTTATGACATGTCGTTCTAAATCCATAGGTATTAATATGGAGTTAGTCCCCCCTTTGCAGCTCTAACAGCTTACACTCTTTTGGGAGGGCTTTTTACAAGATTTGGGAGTGTGTCTGTGGAAAATTTGCCCATTCATCCAGAAGAGCACTTGTGAGGTCAGACACTGATGTTGGACTAGAGGGCCTGGCTTACAATCTCCATTCTAGTTCATCCCAAAGGTGTTCAATGGGGTTGAGGTCAGGGCTCTGTGTGGGCCAGTCAAGTTCTTCCACACCAAACTCACCCAACCATGGCTTTATGGAGCTTGCTTTGTGCACTGGGGCACATTCTTCCACACCAAACTCACCCAACCATGCCTTTATGGAGCTTGCTTTGTGCACTGGGGCACATTCATGCAGACCTAGCAGGACAGAAATTTCACAAACTGACTTGTAACAGAGAAGGCATTCTATGACAGTGCCATGTTTAAAGTCATTGAGCTCATCAGCACGACCCATTCTCCTGCCAGTGTTTGTCTATGGAGACTGCAAGGCTATGTGCTTAATTAGATCTACTTGTTAGCAATGGGCGTGGCTGAAACACCTGCATTCAATAATTGGGGGGGGGAGGATGTCCCACTACCTTTGTCCATATAGTGTACGAAAGAATGCCCGCATTGGTGCAGGGAACACATCCTGGGCTGAGGCTTCCACATTCGCGGCAGTGTTAGAGAAGCGCTAAGAGACAGAAAGCATGCTTGGATTTTGGTAGGACCGCTGAAGGAGTCATCTATTTGGAGCAGTTCCTTTGGTGCGAATGAGTGTGTTTTCTACTCTTTCAGTTTTACTTAGGCGGACTTTGTCCATGACTTGGTCCAATTGTGAAGCAGGAAGAGCCGTGCCGCCAGACAAACGAAAAGCAGGTCGTAGTCGGCAGGATTCGAACCTGCGCGGGGAGACCCCAATGGATTTCTAGTCCATCGCCTTAACCACTCGGCCACGACTACCGAGCACCACGGCGCCCGAAACCGCACAAGTCAGCCATAGCCATTCGTAAGACAAAGAAGCGAAATTGGCGGTTGAAAAGCATGTCAGAAGTGGGATTCGAACCCACGCCTCCAGGGGAGACTGCGACCTGAACGCAGCGCCTTAGACCGCTCGGCCATCCTGACCACTTGTCAAAAACTGTACGTGGCGCAGGAGACGCTTGTATGTTTTGGTCCCAACCTTAAACGAGATCCAATCCCCCTGTATTGTAGCTCTAAAGGCTTTAGAAGCAGGTGGTTTGTTAGCATGCCGCTAAAGCGGCTACGGCTGTGCCGTACTTGCAAGATAGTCTTTTTTAACCAGAGGCAGCTGGAGTACTTATCATTGGTTACCAGTTTGTGTGTTGTAAGTGACGGCCTTACTTTTATCTCTCACTTTGGCAGTCAGTCTTTCGCCAGGACCACGATCACGTGCAACGCAGGCACAACCCTTCTGCCGTAAACATTTCCTTCAGCTGAGTGTTTCACCGTCAGGGCGGTGTTAGTGACTGAGAGCATGCTCAAACACAAGTTCTTTGGTCCAGTCCTCACGGGACACAACACTGCAGACTTCAGCACACTGCCTCATTAAGCACAGCTGATTCAACTCATCAGCAAGGCCTTCACGAACCGAGTTCAGAGCATTGGATGAAGGTAAAGGCTGATCTCTGTAGCACTTTGGCCCAGAAGGTCCCCAGTTTGACATGCCTTGTTTCTGTGATAGCGGCACAAAGGCCTTGTCATCACAGCGTTGGTCACCGTGCCTTTCAATGGGCCTTGGGATCCGTCGCTGTTGCGGAAAGGCCTTCTCTGACAGGAGACGGCTGTAGTACTCAAGCGTTTTTTCAAGGATCACGTGAATGATTAAGATTTGACTTTTTTGTCAGGCAGCCTTTCGCCTTGGCGGGGTTCGGTCATGAAGCAGGTACAGCCCCGCTGCCAGATAAACGAAAACCCCTACGTAGTCGGCAGGATTCGAACCTGCGCGGGGAAACCCCAATGGATTTCAAGTCCATCGCCTTAACCACTCGGCCACGACTACCAGCCGTTCTTTGTAACCGGGTGCCTGCATCTGAAATTGCACAAGTCGGTCATGGACATTTATTTAGAGCACTATGCAAAAGTCGAGCACGAGGTTTGTGAAAAGCACGTCAGATGTGGGCTTTGAACCCACACCTTCGTGATGCAGCCTTTTCTTCTTTGAGAACTGAATCTGAGAATTACGCCATATGGACAAATGTATTGGAACACCTACACATTACACTTCCAGGAGCTTTTATGACATGTCGTTCTAAATCCATAGGTATTAATATGGAGTTAGTCCCCCCTTTGCAGCTCTAACAGCTTACACTCTTTTGGGAGGGCTTTTTACAAGATTTGGGAGTGTGTCTGTGGAAAATTTGCCCATTCATCCAGAAGAGCACTTGTGAGGTCAGACACTGATGTTGGACTAGAGGGCCTGGCTTACAATCTCCATTCTAGTTCATCCCAAAGGTGTTCAATGGGGTTGAGGTCAGGGCTCTGTGTGGGCCAGTCAAGTTCTTCCACACCAAACTCACCCAACCATGGCTTTATGGAGCTTGCTTTGT